TTATAGGTCAGTATAGGTCTATTTCTTGCTTTACCAAATTATAAGACATTCTTATTATTTTTGGTACTTTTAGATGACCCTACTCCGTGAGTCTAACAAATACTGTATGTAGGAAAAAATTATTTATTGCCTCTCATAAGTGGCCCCATGATACAGGGGAAAGAGTGATGCCCAGTTGTCCTCGAATATATGCTGAGGGTTATTTTGATATTTTGATTGTGAGGCTGTTAGCTGAACTTTTCCTGACAGTTTTTTTGTAAGGATTTGTGTTCTGTGCTTTGGTTCATGTCTAGCTAAACCAGAAATGCATACCACAAATATAGTTTGTTGCTCAGACAACAGGAGCAGAGTTTGCATGGATGAAATCGTTCAGTTATTAACTTAGATACTTTTTTTAAAGAGTGGGCTTTGTTAAAATCAAACTTCCTTTCATTAGAAAAATAAATCAGTGAAAGGGAGAGCTTAGCCATTTGAGCCTCAGCTCAAGACACTGGCACATCTGAGGGTTGTCCCTGTCACCCAGTTAAATGACCCAGGCAGATGTCCCAGCCTTGACCCACTTCTGAAGTGAGCCTGTAAATCAGGGGCCTGAAATCCTTTAGTGTCTGAGGAGTCTTTAATAAGGTTATCTGCACATTGCTGAAGAGGCATTTCTGCAATGTTTACCTGTCAGTCAGAAACTAAATAATGTTTTCAACTATTTTGTATGAGTCTCCTAAATAGACATCAGGTAACATCATTTTCTCATTGTAGGCTCAAACCAATACAAGAAGACAATTGTTCCCTGTGTTACTGAGCTCACAAGTTTGCTTGTTCCCTGTCCTTTGCTCAGATAGCTAGAAGAGAATTGAGATGATTAACTCAATTTTCTTGGTCACCTTAGTTTTCTTCTACAGTCAGTGAAGGAAAAGTTCTCAGACAAGATGAACTGCGTCCTAAATGTGTCTTTTTCTCTCTCTTGTCTATAAAAGGAGCACAGGGCAAATAGCTCAGGTGTGTGAGTCAGAGGCTGAAAGAGAGGAATCCTCCTGCCCATGTCTGACCATTGTATGGGTCAGGCATCTAAACCTGGCAACGTGGGCAGTGTGCACCTGGGGAATCACGGCACACAATCCCTGCCTGCTCCGATCTCCTCTATGGTTGCAGTAGCTGCTGCAGTGTATCCGCTTATTGCATAGATTTTTAACTCCTCTAGATACTTGAAAATATTACATACACTGTATATGTGTTACTTCAGTTATTTGCCATCACAAAATTAATAGTAAGTAACATTAATTTTTTAATGTGTTTTTTTAATTCACTCCGCAGTTCTCTTTATAAGCGTGACATAAAGTGATACATATAATGTGCAAGACAGTTCTAGTTCTTTTGATCTCCTCATGCAGATGCTGCTCTATGCTACCGTTTTCACAGAATAGAAATCAATATCATAACTTGGCAACATATTATTTTATGTAAATTCCATATAGTACCATTATCCACTTCACCTGCGAGGCAGAATACTGGCAGTCAGGAATAGATTTTTCCTCCATCTGATGACTTGTAAGATACTTAGGCAAGTTTTACTGTAATCCCTAGGGTGTTCTGATTCTTGAGGAGAGATAGCATATTTTCGGTGATGGTTTGCAAGCTTGTTGTCCTCAGCATGGTGGGCTGATCTGCTCATCACAGTTTATGAAACAGTGTTTCAGAGTGTAGGTGTGATCAATATCTGTGTAAATTCATTCTTTTGAAATCTATTGGCCTGTGTCTGTTTATACCAGAAATTACCCAAATAGTACTGCCAGTCCAACAACTGAAAGTGCAAAACGTTTTTGTTTCTGTTAAAAAGCAGTCAGGACAACCACCACCAAAAATGCAGAAAGTATGAAGTTAAACCTGAATCAGAGGGGAGGAGGCAGGAACTCAAGCTTTTGAATGTGAGGAAGACAAAAATAACTCTAGTTTGTCCTGTCTGATACAAGATTATCATCTTTGCGTTTAGCACACTGTAAACATTCATTATAGATACTGATTTTACAATACATTTCACATGGGTGTGACTCAGCCAGCAAGTACGAGGATTTCTCTTGGTGTTGACCTTTCTAATATTTACATGAAAAAATGAGAGGTAATGATGTGCGACATATGTTGAGAAATGCTTCTGTGTCCCATACTTAGATAATTGGTCATTACATCTCCTTTTGCTCCCAAACATCTGCTCTTACTACAGCTGTTCAGGATGTATCTCCTCTTCTCCACATTGCCATCCTTGCACATGTAAAGGCAGTGAAATTGAGAAGAGCAGGCATCTTGGTCCAACTTAGCCAAATATGAATTTATCCTCTTCCTTCTCAAAGTACATCATATTGTCATGATGGTCACTTATTTTCTCTTCCCAAACTCTGTGAATAGCAAAATAAAAAAAAAATCACCCCTTTCTGTCTGTAGTCAATGTCTCTGTGTAATGTTTTTATTTGCATACAGCTGACCTGACTCACTTCAGTTTTGCCATGAATTTTTTTTCTCTCATCAGTGATCCCTTTAATGTTTTGAGGCTCTTTTTTTTTTTTTCTTTCCCCTCCTAAGATTTGCTTAATAGCTGTACTGCGATTTTTTCCAAAGAGTCTGTGGAATCTCATCCTTGGAGGTAATACAGACCTGGACTAGAGGTGTCCCAGAGCAGCCTGCTCAAATGGGTCTTGCACTCAGCAAATTGAGAGAGGCTGATCACAGACCGCCTGGAATCCCTTCCAACAGATTTATCTCTGCCAGTTATTTGAGCTCTTATTAAACTTGCTGTAGTCCTAGACTTTACCTTTGTCTTCAAACATTTAAGTCAAGACTAGAATCTCTCTGCCACAGGCACTATTCAGCACTGCTAACCCAAGCATGAAAAGAATTGCCATAATTGCCATAGATTTTAAAATGCTGCTTTCTTTTCAGACTTAAGAAGTCAAAGGAATTAAGATCTCTGAAAATATACAAACTTTCCTTGCATTTGCAGGACCTGACATGTTCCATGTTTTTATCCCCCCCAAGAACCACCTGCCCAATAATGAGTAAATTACAATACATTTCCCACTGGGAGTTGATGCTTTATATAAACTCCTAAAATCTGCTGGTTGTGTGAGATATGTGTCTGATCTTCTGTAGGATGTTAGACTGCATTGTTACACACGTTTCCTTTTGCCTTCATATTTGCAGCTATGCTACTTTTAAAACTGCTAACAGCTTTTCATATTTGCTAGCAGTAAGACAAACTGATTTCATTCACTAGAAAAAAAATAGCTTATTTATTTGTTTGTTTATTTCAAATCTATCAAAAATGGGCATCTCTTTTGTCAGTAATCTGCTGTTATGCAGTAATAGTCTTATCTGAGACAGCTAAATATTTCCAGACTTAATTTATCAGTCTCGAGAAGGTTAATCTTTGATAAAACAGGGAGAAGTGGATAATTTTTAAAGGTGAATTGAAATGACATGGTTGAATTTATAACAATTGCTGCACAATAGCTATAACTGAGTATCTGACAAAACAAACAAGCATGCTCTACATAAATAAAGGGAGAACCAAAAAAAAATGACACAATAACAGATGCACTGCAGTGAATGAAAGAAATGTCCTTGTCAAAAGTAAGTAAAATACTTAGTACTGTAGAGTTCAATTTCTCCAAGGGGAGCATGCTGTGCACCTGCCCAAACAAAATGTGTGCCACATCCAGCACATACATTGGCAGAAGAATCAGTTGTTCTGACTGTTCTGACATATTTGTCCTGATAGTCAGTGGTTATTTTTAGTACGAAGGAAGAAAGGCATGCTTTGCGATTAGCTGAGAACAGAGACTTCATGACTGTCAAAGGTTCACCTGGTTTGTGGGTGGTGGCAATGGTAGTGTAAGGGACCACTGCAGCATTGGATACTGCCCTGTCGGCGTCTCAGGAGGAGTTTGACCCCAGTTCTTTTGTTCACCAGTTTATTCTGAAAAGTATTTGAGCTAAATAAGGTAACAATCACCCTTCTGGTGGAGGGTCAGTGAGGGGAGAGGTCAGGCACCTTGGCAGCAGGCTGCACAACCCGTTCAAGAGAGCAGCTCCAGGGTCAGGGCCAGGACTACACAGTCTTGCTTCTGTCTGCAGGAGGGAGAGCAAATACGATGCAGTGAATACATTTGTGTTCAGGGAAATGTGTAGTTTTGCCTCCTGTGGGTGCTTTTGAAATTTTTTACCTCTGGAGAAAGCAGTATTGTTTGTTTGATCAGTATTTTTATTGTAGTGTTCAACTTTACTGAATGGAAATCCATACTCCCTTGTTAGCTACTGACATTTGCATCTCTTCCTTGTGCTTTGTCTTTTTTTCCATGCTGCTTTCCCTGTCTTTGAGTGTCTCCTTTTTCTCAGTCCCTTCCTAGTTCTGTGCTAACAACTACCTCCCACTATCCTATTTTTCCCATACATACTCAGGAATGAAAAAACGGTCAGGATTGACTACTGAGAGGTAAGATATAATGCTCCAGCTAGATTATCAGGGAAGGAAAATGCACTCATCTCTGAAGATTTGGAAAGAAAAAAAGGTAGCCCAATATAGCACATAAGGTTAGATGGATAGACTCCAAACCTTAATTTATGGTAGATGTCAGATCTTACACAGGAATGTATGAAACACTTGAAATTTAAGCCCCTCTCTGGATAATTTGATAAATTTAAAGTACAATAAATAATTAAGGGACAAAAAGTGATTGAGGACCAGCTCTAGGTGTTTATTTCATGTGCGCAGTGTACCACAGGTATCTGTTTATAGACACTAATCATCAGCTTTTCTGTATCTTTCTGGTCATGCTCCTGTTCTTCTCAAAAGGCGATATTTTACAGCCATTTTCCCCCTCTAGGGTTGCTGATGGCAATAACTCAGCCTTTTTCCCGTGGTCTGAAATGGGAGTCTGGCTGCGACCAGGCACTATGCATACAGTTACTGTTTCAAATCTCACCTGTGGTTTCATTTTGTTTCTCGTTCCAATCAGAAAATGAAGAGTTTGGCCCAGAGACGCCAGTCTGCACCATCTTTGATCTTTGTCAAAGCACTTAGCAGATCTCGATCGGCCTCGAGGTAAGTCAGTGAGTTTTGCTTGCCGTACTGTTTTGTACTTTCTCAGCCCCAAACTTGAGATGTTTTTGAGTTATTGTCCACACCAGGCTGTCGAACACAATTCATGCTGCTCGGTAGCTGCACAGCTATAAAGCCTACTGAAAGATGTGACAGAGCTCTCCTGGTTTTCCGCAGTGCTGCCACACTAAGCTGTTTGTACCCCATTGGGTGGGCAAAGCTGCTCTGCAGTTTGCAACTGGGCATGTGACATTTGGGCTGTTCAGCTGTAAATAGTTAGTGACTGGCTGTGACTGCCTCCTGGGGAGGTGGCATGGGCAGAAGATGTTCCCTGCTTTTTGCCTTGTACACTTATGCAGTGCCGGGCATAACTCAAGATTGCTTATTGTGGAATTGTGCAATTTAATTTGAGCTAAGTTTCTTCTGTCACTGCCTGCTTCATGGTACAGGCTCTCCAGGGCTCTGGAAGCACCTACTGACTCAGGACAATGCTGTGGGCCAGGATCTGATGATCAAGCCTTCTCCTGTCCAGTATTAGCACTAAGTGGGGCTGAGTATGTGGGTGTTAATCATTCAGCATTTTTCATCCTTGTCCTCTGCCAGAATCAGCCCTTCCTCCTACCTCCGCCAATGTAAAACTGCCATAGAAATGGGAGTTTCTATGGAGCAAGTCCCCTGTCCAGCCCCAGCCCTGACCTGCCATTTGAACCACTCTGCACACATAACTTTTGTCTCCCTGCACTACAGTTCATTAGGCTTTCAACTTACAAAATGTGTTTATCGAGAAGTGAACCATCTGGCGGGCTGTTAATGCTTCCAGCTGTGTATTGCTCTTTATGAAGAAATGATATTGAGGGAAATTAGAGTATGGCTTTGTAAGGAATATTTTTTCCTACTCTGTGGTGTGTTAAGTAGTCAGTATGGAAGAAGTCAGAGCTTTGGAAAGTTGTTTGTGTTTGATCTAACTAGTACCTGGTTTGATATCATGTAGAACTCCACAGTATTTCAGAAACCTGTGAAAGTGCTCTTTGAAAAAAAAAAAGAGTAGCAAAATAGGAGAGGCAAATTTCATTTGCCTGCTGGGATTCAGACATTAACATTTTTCTTCAGTTCTGCTTTTTAATTTGTTTTATTGCCTGCTCCATAAGTTTCAGAAATTGGAAATAGCTGGAGAGACATCGAGTGTGACACACAATATGTACATTTTCACCTAAGAACTTTATGCTTTCTGAAGTGTAAATATGTCTTGCTTGTATAGCCCCAATGAGAATTATCTCTGGCTTGTGAAAGGACTTTTTTGTAAAGCCAGTTGGCAAAAACTTTGTGGTGAAGAGAACTGAAGAGGGGAACATGTTGCCCTGTTCTGCAGTAAGAGCAATGCTTTGCCTACTTGACCAACCCTGCTGTTTTAACAACTGTTGGATGCTGCCTCAATCATGTCTGTCCTCTGTCTGTGACTTGCAACAATTTAGCTGCTCCTGCTGGTTTGAATTGAAGTCTGTGGCCTTTGTGAGAGGTATGGGGTGAAGTCTGAGGATCCTGAAATCAGAGCAGGTGATTTTGTAGCTTCAGAGTCTTTGAGTTAAAGGGTGACACTTTGGATGGTGTTTATTATTGTTCACAGGAGCAGCAATTCTCACCTGTGCCTGACTTTCCTCTTTGGCTGTACAAAGCACATTCCTCTTCATCACTGAACTGATGGATGAGTTTGATCTTTCCACTCAGTTTGTTGTGTAAATGCTTAACTCTTGTGAAGTGCTTTCTCTGAAGGAGAGTTGAAGAGCAACAAAATGACTTCTCATGTTTTCTAATCTCCTCCAAATGTTTTACCTCAGACCTGTCTCAGCTCTTAGTTCTCCTTCTTGTAGACACAGCCAGCCTGCAAAATCCATTATTCTTCTCTGGCAGTGAACCTTAATACTGGGACTCCATAACACTTACTTGTTAATGGTTGATTAATGACTTGTAGATAATAAAGCTCCTATCTGAAGTTAACAAACATCTGTGAGGGATTTATTTGAATGCTCTCACCTCAGCAGCTGGCTCACCTCAATATTTGTTGAAATTAATGAACAAGTGCAAAGTTTAAAAGGGCAGGAAATACTTAGAAGCCAAGTCAGTTTGTATTTTTATACCACTTTATATGTCAGGTGTCCCTGGTTTATATACAGAGCATTTTCATAAAATGTATTGGCACCTACTTTGGACAGACTTACTTTGGGGCATTTTAAAGTTTATTAATGCTATCTATTCAAAGAAACCATTGTGACATCTGGAGATGGCTATTTAGCTTTCAGAAGATTAAGGTTTTTAATGGTGATGTTGTTGTAGCTGTCATGAGTATGTGACCAAGGCGAGACGATCTAGGTGGAAATAGCAGATGCTTGTTTTGTGCCTTTGTCCTCTTACTCAGTTCTGAAAGAGAACTGTGCTTAAAATCTTGTATTCGTTTTCTCCAGCTATAGCATTTGGTTTAATGAAAGTTCAGCCTTCCTTACAAATCTTGGCCTTGCCACGTCAGCCACATAAAGAGAGATACAAGATATTTGGCCTGCAGAAGAATTGTGGGTGTGGCTGTGCGGCACATTGATGCACAGGTGTCCAATCATGCTGTAATCCCTACATCACTTGACTGGTACCTGCAGGCAGCAGAGGAACATAGTAAACAGTACAGATATTATAGTGGAATTTGGGCCCTTACACCCAAGAGGTGAAAATACAGAGACTATTCCATTGCTTCCTGTTCTTGTTTCTCTTCCTTTTTTTCTGCACAGCTTCTTTTTCATTACAAAATAGTGATGAATAGGCATATAAGGACTGTTCCACATCATCAGATGCCCTCTTTGGGAGCACTTTGAGCAAAGTTATTGTAGAAATACACTGGAAAAGTAAGCTTTTGGTATTTTTTTTGGCTGATACTCAGACACAGGAAAAATTAATTTGATTGTTAACTCCATTAATGTGTATGAAATCAGCAAAGGATTTCGGTTAGTTATACTTGGCCCTAGACCTGTTCTGCAGTTGTAATTTTCCTCTTACTTTTTCTTGGTGTCCTTTAATGAAACCTGCACAACTTAATGATATGGTTCAGTACAAATCAAATGACAGGCTTGAAACAGTAATGTCTGAGGCCTCCATTTAAAGCATCAGGTATTGTCATCTCGCTGATACAGAATAATAAAGTAGCTGATACAGAATAATAAAGACTTGTTTCAAGTCAGATTTTCAGCCTTTGTTCTGCTGTCCCTCAAAACAATTTTCACTTGTGACAAAACCCAAGTTTTTGGGCTGTATTGTCAGACTTCTGCTTGCGTCTCTGATATTTCACAGGGACAGCCAAACTATGTGCTGCAGTCACTGGCAGCTTCCCCTTTCCTATTGCACACCTGACCAGATCATTGAAAGTGATATTTTTACATGCTGAAACTTATTAATATAATTTCACAGTTTCCGAATCTGCATGACCATTTAGAGATCTGTGTCTCCACACAGTAAAGGTGTTAAAATACTAAAAATGAAACAACTCTTTTTTACACCATGAATCATGTTTATGATGTTATTTTGGTGTAAGCTGGAAGCAGGGGCTGTTTAAAAAAAACACTGAAGTATATTTTTTAAAAGGTTTTATGAACAAATTTCTAAAGAACCCTAAAACAAAGGTCCTAAAATGTCATCCCTATGCAATTTTATTTTGTGGCTTTTATGGTTGAAAAAGTAGAAGGTAAAAACTGAGGGTTTCACAAGTTTCCAAGGTGTTTTCTGCCCTTTGCTACATAGAAGCGGTGTTATGCCATTCACAGAGAGACTGCTCTTCCTTCTCCCAGTGCACAGTAAGTGATTCTGGCATGTTGTCTTCCAGGGGTCCTGTGCCAAAGGCTAAATATCCCAGATAACGAAGATCATATGTGTAATCTAGTAATACATTCCACTTGGCGCTAGTCAAATACAGAGTGTTCCCAGAGTCTTGGACATTGTGTTTTCAGGGTTTTAGTCAGAAGATACGTGGCTGATCCAAGCTATGTGACTAGAAGAAGACAAAAATAGAGACTTTTAATAAATGTAAATTGCCAGAGGGCTTTAACTGTCTCTTTTTTACAGGGAAGATGGGTATTTGGTGTTTCAGGCAAAACTGAATGCAGGGATGAAGGGAATAAAAGCTCATTGCAAGCAACTAGCTTGTTAAGTAGATATTTCAGTTGTAATAATTTAGCTCGTTCTTCAGTCACGTCCACGACAGTGAATAATTTTGCCTCGCAGTGTAATCTCCGTGGGGCGTGTTTGTTTGGTGAAGGCGAGCACCGGTGCAGAGCGGCACGGAGGGGCGGACAAGGAGCAGGCGCCCCTGTGCCTCGCGCCACAGCCGTTTTTACCGGCTCGTGCGGGACCAGGCCTTCATGAGGAAGAGGCTCACCCCCCAGTTCCCTTGTCTGTCAATGCTGAGGTGGGTGTTGCTCTCACACAGCCCCACAGGCACCATGGCAGAGTTTGTCGGAGCGAGATCAGAATCAGCATGAATGGCTGAGGCCGCCCCTCTCTCTGCCAGGGTCCCCACCTGTCTGCCAGGTGGAGGAGCGGCACCCTTGGCCAGGGCCGCCACAGCTGGGCCAGCCGATGGTGCCACTGCTGGTGGCTCACAGGGCATGGCTTAGGGTCACCCTGCTGCAGGGCACAGCCCTGGGATGGTGCGAGACAGATGACGCCTCGTGGCTGGTTTTGAGGGGCTCTGGGGGACAAAGGCTGTCACGCTGTGTGTGTGTGCCGGTGTCCCCGTGTGCCAGTTTCCGTGTGTGCCGTACAGCCGTGATCAGTGAGGGGTTGCCTCCGGAGCAGCCAGCAGCAGGAAGGGGTGGGCTCAGAACCAAGAGTGGGAGTTAGCATGGACAGGTACCATCCCAGCCTGCTCCCATTCCAAATGCAGACGCCACAGTTTGGGTGGGAGGGGGTTCCCTTGAAGCTGCAGAAGAGAGGTGAGGGGAGAAACCAATGGGGTAAAACATTCACTT